AACCCTAAACCCTAAATCCTAACCCTAAAACCTAAACCCTAAACCCTTAACCCTAAACCCTCAAACCTAAACCCTAAACCCTAAAACCTAAACCCTTAACCCTTAACCCTAAACCCTACACCGCTTAAACCCTAAAGCTGCACCCTGCCGTCAAGGCGGAGGGCCTGGGCTTCAAAAAGGAGCCCCCCCCACCCCAAGCGGCCAGAGGAGTTGATGTTGGGTTTAGGGTTTAGGGTTTAGGGTTTTGACAGGTCCGATCGGGCTTAAAGGCAGAGTCTCAACTTCGCCGTAGTACTCTTCCTTTTGAAGTTCAGATGTGGAGGTTTAGGGTTTACCAGGTTTTACTCGGGATTGTGTTTGATGAGGCCGGGAAACTGAAGTCGCATTGGGGGTTTGGGGCTCAGGGCTTAAGGTTTAGGGCTTAGGGGCTTTGGGTCCGGGGCTTAATTGGGAGTTTAGGGTTCAGGGCTTTTGGGGGGGGGGGGTCTTTTGGCCTCAGATCTTTCGGATGGGTGCTCAAACAAGGCAGGTCCTGGTGCATAGAAGTTCTTCGAGATGGAGATAGAGGTAGATGCGTGCCAGCCGCTGAGCAGCCGATAGAGGACGCGCTCCTCGAGCTAGCATACGATTTAGGGTTTAGTGTTTAGGGCTTCGTGTGTAGGGCTGTGGACTCAGAAAATCACGCTGCAAAACCCCTGAAATCTAAATCGCCCTCTTGCATTGCATTTTCTCTCGCTCTTCCCCTTGAAATGGACATGTCAACGAAGCGCGTTCTTCCTACTGCTGCCGTTAGTACTGTCATTGGTTGCTGCGACTTCTCTTATCACTACTAAAGCTACTGTTGAGGACTGGTACGACCTGTACCTTTCAAAACATAGCTTCAGTAGATGCGGATATTGATGATGTTGCGACCATGCCAAGGCCTACTGCTGCTGTTCAGACATTGCCAGCATCATCGAAGATGCCAACCTTTGCAACTGCTCATGCACTGGCTACGCCCGCGACTGCTGCTGCCGCTGCTTGTGCTGCAGCTAGCAGCTGCTGTTCTTTCTACTCTTCCTTGCAGTTCGTACTGCTCATACCAATGATGAAACAATGAACATGCTGAAGGCTAAAGGTCAACAGTGTTGCTGCTGTTTCAACTGTCGCTACACTTGCTGGTTACCCTTCCGCAAGAAAGACTGCTGCGAGATGTTATGATGACAGGCTCCGCTCCAGTCTATATGCCGCCGGAACTTCGCAACAGAAAGCCGACAGTTCGCTGTCGAGTCCGGGCCCTCAAATATCAAGGTGGGAACGCTTTCCGCACAGAACTGCTCAGTGCAAATATTCTATAGCTGACGCATCGCCGGGCTCACGTTGCTTCCGTGTCCACATACCTGGGAGAACTAGGAGCATTCCAATCTCCCTGTGTTCTACGAGTACCCCGCCGTCGCCCTCAACGATCAAGGTGGCACGGTTGCTGCACGTCTTTGTGCTCGGTAGAAATATTCAGCAGTGGTCTCATCATTGGACAGAAACGCAAGCACGCACGGAAGCATGTCAGAAACTGGGAGAATGCACGCTGTCAAGTTTGTGCCCTCAACGATCAAGGTGGCAAAGCTTTCCGCACAGAACTGCTCAGTGCAAATATTCTACAAGTGACTCATCACTGGGCCCACACTGCTGCCGTGTCCACATACCCGCGGACTGGCACTACAACAGGACCGGCTGCCTGCAACGTCAACATTCCGAAGGCAACACACGACGAAAACTAGGAGAACTAGGAGCAGTCCAATCTCCCTGTCTTCTACGAGTACCCCGCCATCGTCCTCAACGATCAAGGTGGCAAGGTTTCTGCACGTCTTTGTGCTCGGTAGAAATATTCAGCAGTTGTCTCATCATTGGACAGAAACACAAGCACGCACCGATGCATGTCAGAAAGTGGCGAATGCACGCTGACAAGTTTGTGCCCTCAACGATCAAGGTGGCAAAGCTTTCCGCACAGAACTGCTCAGTGCAATATTCTACAAGTGACTCATCACTGGGCCCACATTGCCGCCACGTCCACATACCCGCGGACTGGCACTACAACAGGACCGGCTGCCTGCAACGTCAACATTCCGAAGGCAACACACGACGAAAACTAGGAGAACTAGGAGCAGTCCAATCTCCGTGTGTTCCACGAATACCCCGCCGTCGCCCTCAACGATCAAGGTGGCAAGGTTTCTGCACGTCTTTGTGCTCGGTAGAAATATTCAGCAGTGGTCTCATCATTGGACAGAAACACAAGCACGCACCGAAGCATGTCAGAAAGTGGCCGAATGAACGCCGTCAAGTTTGTGCCCTCAACGATCAAGGTGGCAAAGCTTTCCGCACAGAACTGCTCAGTGCAAATATTCTACAAGTGACTCAGCACTGGGCCCACATTGCCGCCGTGTCCACATACCCGCGGACTGGCACTACAACAGGACCGGCTGCCTGCAACGTCAACATTCCGAAGGCAACAGAACTAGGAGCATTCCAATCTCCCGGTGTTCTACGAGTACCCCGCCGTCGTCCTCAACGATCAAGGTGGCAAGGTTTCTGCACGTCTTTGTGCTCGGTAGAAATATTCAGCGGTTGTCTCATCATTGGACAGAAACACAAGCACGCACCGAAGCATGTCAGAAAGTGGCGAATGCACGCTGTCAAGTTTGTGCCCTCAAAGATCAAGGTGGCAAAGCTTTCTGCACAGAACTGCTCAGTGCAAATATTCTACAAGTGACTCATCACTGGGCCCACATTGCCGCCATGTCCACCTACCCGCGGCCTGGCACTTCAACAGGACCGGCTGCCTGCAATGTCAACCATCCGAAGGCAACACACGACAAAAACTAGGAGAACTACGAGCATTCCAATCTCCCTGTCTTCTACGAGTACCCCGCCATCGTCCTCAACGATCAAGGTGGCAAGGTTTCTGCACGTCTTTGTGCTCGGTAGAAATATTCAGCAGTTGTCTCATCATTGGACAGAAACGCAAGCACGCACCGAAGCATGTCAGAAACTGGGAGAATGCACGCTGTCAAGTTTGTGCCCTCAACGATCAAGGTGGCAAAGCTTTCCGCACAGAACTGCTCAGTGCAAATATTCTACAAGTGACTCATCACTGGGCCCACATTGCCGCCACGTCCACCTACCCGCGGACTGGCACTACAACAGGACCGGCTGCCTCTAACGTCAACATTCCGAAGGCAACACACGACAAAAACTAGGAGAACTACGAGCATTCCAATCTCCCTGTCTTCTACGAGTACCCCGCCATCGTCCTCAACGATCAAGGTGGCAAGGTTTCCGCGCGCCTTTGTGCTCGGTAGAAATATTCAGCAGTTGTCTCATCATTGGACAGAAACGCAAGCACGCACCGAAGCATGTCAGAAAGTAGCCAAATACACGCTGTCAAGTTTGTGCCCTCAACGATCAAGGTGGCAAAGCTTTCCGCACAGAACTGCTCAGTGCAAATATTCTACAAGTGACTCATCACTGGGCCCACACTGCTGCCGTGTCCACATACCCGCGGACTGGCACTACAAAACGACCGGCTGCCTGCAATGTCAACATTCCGAAGGCAACAGAACTAGGAGCATTCCAATCTCCCTGTCTTCTACGAGTACCCCGCCGTCGTCCTCAACGATCAAGGTGGCAAGGTTTCTGCACGTCTTTGTGCTCGGTAGAAATATTCAGCAGTTGTCTCATCATTGGACAGAAACGCAAGCACGCACCGAAGCATGTCAGAAAGTAGCCGAATGCACGCTGTCAAGTTTGCGCCCTCAACGATCAAGGTGGCAAAGCTTTCCGCACAGAACTGCTCAGTGCAAATATTCTACAAGTGACTCATCACTGGGCCCACATTGTTGACGCATCCACCTAACCGCGGACTGGCACTACAACAGGACCGGCTGCCTGCAACGTCAACATTCTGACGGCAACACACAACAACATCTAGGAGAACTAGGAGCAGTCCAATCTCCCTGTGTTCTACGAGTACCCCACCGCCGTCCTCAACGATCAAGGTGGCAAGGTTTCTGCACGTCTTTGTGCTCGGTAGAAATATTCAGCAGTGGTCTCATCATTGGACAGAAACGCAAGCACGCACCGAAGCATGTCAGAAAGTGGCGAATGCACGCTGCCAAGTTTGTGCCCTCAAAGATCAAGGTGGCAAAGCTTTCTGCACAGAACTGCTCAGTGCAAATATTCTACAAGTGACTCATCACTGGGACCACATTGCCGCCGCGTCCACATACCCGCGGACTGGCACTACAACAGGACCGGCTGCCTGCAATGTCATCATTCTGAAGGCAACACACAACAACATCTAGGAGAACTAGGAGCATTCCAATCTCCCTGTGTTCTACGAGTACCCCACCGTCGCCCTCATCGATCAAGGTGGCAAGGTTTCTGCACGTCTTTGTGCTCGGTAGAAATATTCAGCAGTTGTCTCATCATTGGACAGAAACGCAAGCACCGAAGCACGTCAGAAAGTAGCCGAATGCACGCTGTCAAGTTTGCGCCCTCAACGATCAAGGTGGCAAAGCTTTCCGCACAGAACTGCTCAGTGCAAAGGTTGTACAACTGACCGGGCTCAGAACAAAACATCCCACCTGCCTGCGGCCCTGCACTACAAAATAACAGGCCGCCCACGACATGAAGATTCCAAAAGGCGGCACACAACAAACAACTTCTCCGTCAATTTTCCATTTTTGCCGCATTCCCGGCCTTCAACGATCAAGCCGACTGGCAAGATCTCTCCCCCTAGGTACTCTCACACAATCATGTCAGCAAGAAGCTGAATGGTTGCTATGAAGCCCGCACCTTTTGAAGCCTTAACGATCAAGAGAGCAAGCTTTCTTGACAGTGCTGCACAGACGCAAGCTCAGTGCAGATCTTCTGTTGGCACGTCACTACCAAACGGGATCCCTGTCGCACCTGTCATATGCATGCACAAGTTCATGCAAAAACTAGCACACCCTCAAAGTCCTCGCCGTGTACCCACAACATGCTTGTCCCGAGGGTTCTGTACCAAGGAGACATTCCGCATGCGGGCGGGCCATACCAGTGTCCAGGATTTCGATTTCAATGCGCCCTGAACTCCTAAACTCGTAAACCCATAACCCCTAAACCTGAAACTTGAAAACCAAGCCGGGTGACCTCGTAGCACATCGCCTCCTTCGTCCCGAAGCGCCCACGAGGCATGGCACTGCCGACTTCGAAGCAGTTCTCGTTGTACATCGCCTGGTGTCGCAGGGCTTAGAGTTTAGAGCAGCATCTACACCTGATTCCAAACCCCGACTTATATAACCTCAAGCCTTCAAGAACTCAGCCCGGATTGGGAACCAGATCGCACGGGAAGCGCTCATGGACATTGCATCTTCACGCTTGCGCCAAATCAGAAGTATACATGCAAGGCTCAGGATTTTGAGTTTGTGGTTTAACGACCTCAGTTCCGTAAACCCAAAGCCAAGCTAATGTAGGGGCCTTAATAATTTCAATAGGGATTTGGGGCCCAATATACTATAATTATAATAAGGAGCCCTCAAAATAAGATAGGTAATTTTTTTGGCCCCTATATTAGAACCCCGATCCATAAACCTCAGACAGATGCTCAGCTCCAAGCCTAAAACAAAAACAAACCAGCATCCCAAGACCTATACCAACCACGGCCTACTCCAACCGTTCAGTGGCATCGGGTTTTGGGGTATATCATAGTAGGTATGTATGAATATATATATATATATATATAAAGAACCCAGAAAATAGTACAGGCAATTGTTAAGGCCCACATTCGGGATTGGAGTTGACTTCTTCAGGTTCACATCTCTGGAGCACTGGTTCATCCCGAAACAATGGTTTAACATAGGGGCCTTAATATCTAGAACAGGGTTTTCGGGCCTATTATACTATAATCAAAAAATAAAGAACCCCCTAAAATAGTATAGGTAACAATGGAGGCCCTTTTTTAGGGTTTGGGGTTCTGGCCTGCCAGATGTGAGAGCCGTTGTACCCGGTGTTGCGCTCTGGGTTCTTGATCAAGTTCACGTCCTCACAGGGTCTAGGCGACTCCATGAGGGAGCTTCTCCGAGCTGCATGGCGCTTACGGTTTAGGGTTGAAAGGTTTGGGGTTAAGGGTCAAGGGTTTAAGGTTTAATGGTTTAGGGTTTGGGTTCAGAAAGCTTCTCTGTGGCTCTAAGGGATTTGGCAGGGTGGTCTTTTCAGAGTCTACGGTTCTGGCTTCAGCATTACATCACGGCCGAAGCGCCAAATAGAAGACTTTAGAAATGTCGGAGGTTCCTCATGGGCTTAGAGTGAAGGCCTTTTAGAATTCCAGGTTCGACTGTAGGGTTTAGGGTTTAGGGTTTAGGTCTTGCCAGCTATAAGGCCCACTAGGCTTCGGGCTTGAGGTTACGGTTCTTGGGAGACCCTAAACCCCAAACGATTACAGGAAGGTCATGAGAAGGCTGGTTACATCATGTGCATACTTTTATGTACTTGTTTGTTTAGTCCTTTATCTGTTTATGTACTTGCCTGTTCGTCTGTTTTCATAGGTAGATCTATAGTTTGGTTCTGCTTAGGCTCATATTCACATTTACCTGTGCATTTGTCTAAAGTAGTTGTCTACTTATCTACACAAGTATCTTATAGACAACCTTAGACGAGGGGCTGCTGGGGTTCAAGATCTTGAGGGGTTTAGGGTTTAGGGCTTGGGGGTTTAGGGTTTAGGGCCTTTAGGGTTTAGGGTTTAGGGCCTTTAGGGTTTAGGGTTTGGGGTTTCGGGTTTAGGGCCTTCAGGGGGTTTCGGATCTCGGGTCCATCCTCAACCCCAGGAGTTTAAGGAAAGTCGCATTGTTCATGGAGCTGGCTCTCCAGATGCCCCCTTCATGTACCGAGTACTTTCTCGATTGTCACTTTAGGGTTTAGGGTTTAGGGACTGGCACATACTGCCGCGCTTTTTTCTCTTCCCGCAAGAGACGAAACTCTGCAAAAATGCGAACGCCGGATGAGAACTTGATATTCGGCCTTGCGCCCTTCCGCCCAGAACCCTGAAGCGATGGAAAGTGTCCCGAGAACTGTTTTGGGTTTGGGGTTTAGGGTGGTACATCAAACAGATACAGTCATACTGACAGCTCGCACAGATGAAGGCGCAAGAGTCCTATACACAGCTATTTCTCAGTTTCGATCATCCACGATCTGAAAGCACAAATCAAGGCTGCCCATCCCATGTAGGGGCCTTAATAATTAGACCAGGGTTTTGCGGTATGATACACTAGAAGAAAAAATAAGGAGTCCCCTAAACCCTAAACCCTAAACCCTAAACCCTAAACCCTAAACCCTAAACCCTACCCTAAACCCTAAACCGGTCATTATCAAGGCCACGATGTTATGATGCCCGCATAGGCCGAGGGTGCCCCTGACACACAGGAGCCCCGGGTTCCGAGTGAACTTGGCTCAGGTTCTGGGTGTTTAGGGTTCAGGGATTAGGGTTCAGGGATTAGGGTTTAGGGTTTAGGGTTTAGGGTACTAAACGCTAAAACTCTGAACCCTGAAGCCAAGACCCCTTACCCTCGTGGCCTCAGACACCATCCCAGGTCTTTACCAAGACCGTGCGC